CCTACACCTCCCACTCCAACTCAAGAGCCAACTACAACCACAACAACCACACCTACACCTCCCACTCCAACTCAAGAGCCAACTACAACCACAACAACCACACCTACACCTCCCACTCCAACTCAAGAGCCAACTACAACTACAACAACTACAACTATACCTCCATCTGCAACCACTCCAGAGCCAACTACAACTACACCTCCCACTACGACAACTCCACAGTCAACTACAACCACACCAGTTACTCCAACACCTCCCCTTACAGCCAAAACAACCCTACAGTCACCCACTACTTCAGAATCATTTGTTACTGGCCCGCCATTGTCAACGACAACCCAAGGTTCATTTACAGCTACAGAACAGGTTCTGAATACAACCCAAACATCTGAATCAACACCATCAACACAAACTTCATCACGTTCCACGACAAAGTGCTTCTGTGTTTTTAATGGCACAGTTTATCAGCCAGGTAATGAGTAATTTTAGCTTTTTCATCTGTTTATTCTTTATGTTATAACCCTAACTGTCTTTTTTAACCACTGTTTCAGGGGATGTAATATTTTCAATGTACCCCATTGGATCAGGCATTTGCCTCACAATGACTTGTTCTGATGTTTGTGAAATTCATAACAGCACTGAAATGTGTGTGATTACCTCAACAACTCCGTCTCCCAAACCCAACATTCCTACGTGTCCTGAATGGGATGCTGTTGTAAGACATTTTACATCTAATTCATGTTCAAATTAATATTTGATTTCATGAAGCATATTTTTAGTCCAGCTATTTGCACTGACCTTTTTATATTTGTTTTTCTGAATACCCAAATATGTGTACCTAGTTGTTTCTAACACTTATTTTTGTTTACAGCAAAATGAGACCTTCTACTTGTGCGACTGCACTATGGCCAGATGCATTGAGAACAACACAATTGAAATAGTTCCATATGAGTGTCCACCCCTCCAGAACATAACCTGTGCCAATGGAAAGAAACCAGTTCTTGTGTATGATGAGTACCACTGCTGCCAACAATATGTTTGTGACTGTAAGTTATTCTGTGTGCACAGATGGATTTAAGTTTCTCTTTTAATCTAATATATTCAAATTCATTGTAATAAAAACCACTACAGAGATTGTTCCTGCCCAGAGCCTTCACCATCTACAATAACTCTTTAATTAAATGAGTTACAAAAACGTTTAAGTTCCCTTTGGGGTCAGTGAAGTGTTTTGGAATTTGATGTTGTATGTATGTCATACTTTTGCTTTCTAGGTGAATGCGAAGGCTGGGGAGATCCTCATTACATCACATTTGATGGGTTATACTACAGTTATCAAGGAAATTGTACTTATATTTTGATGGAGGAGATCACAGCAAAACACCATTTGAAGATCTATATTGACAATGTATTCTGTGATCCCACTGAAGACGTTTCTTGTCCAAGATCAATAACCATAGCATATGGATTTCAAGTTGTCACACTCATCAATCATAACCTTATCGGAGCTCCACAATTAGAGGTAACACTTGTAGAAGACAACACTCAGTTGTCTTCAACTAGCTTGACATGATATCTTTGACAAGTGTCAACAGAATAATGCCAATGTATAATTTTTGCCTGAATACAACATAGTTTTTTTTTTTGTCTTTTCTTATTGTATACTTTCAGGTATTAAAAAGTGGTCAAAAATTGAAACTACCCTATGCACAGCAAGGTATTAAGATTATAAGTTCTGGCATTAACCTGATTTATGAGATCCCTCTCCTAAATGTGGTTGTTACATTTGGGATGACTGGCTTTAGTGTCAACCTTCCATATCAATACTTTGGGGGCAACACACAGGGTCATTGTGGTAAGAAATCTCTCTCAAATCTCTACTTTGGTCAGTCTTTAGGTTTGACATAAACTGTAACTGTTTAACATCTTTGTTAGGGACATGCAACAACAATCAGGCCGATGACTGCAGATTGCCGACAGGCGAACTGGTGCAAAATTGTGGAGTGATGGCAGACTATTGGCCAGCAAATGACATTTATCAACCTAACTGCCCAACACCACCTGCAGTACCCACTCAGGTTCCTGAACCACCGCTAGAACCAACTCCATGCAAGCCAGACTCCATTTGTGATCTGCTGAAGAGCAGGTAGGCATGCCATGACGTATTGACTATTTCATACCCCTCCAGGAGATGATTTTTTAAATAAGACTAAAATGACTAAATTTTGCTTTTATTTTTATTTTTCAGTGTCTTTGCAGAATGTCATCCATTGGTTTCCCCAGACAATTTCTACAGAGGTTGTGTTTTTGATAGTTGCCATGTTTCAAATCCTGCAGTGGAGTGCACAAGTTTGCAAACTTATGCTGCTGCCTGTGCTCAGGCTGGAATTTGCATCCACTGGAGAAACCACACTAAAATATGTGGTAAGTCAGGCTTCATCATATTATTTCTACTGAGAAAGCAGATTGAATTGGGAGAGTGTTTTTATGTTTGCATTATGCAGCACTCAACGAACAGGACAACAAAACATATTGTACACTGTTACCATTTTTTTAAAGTTTGGGGGTTGTTTTGTTTCCAACAGCTAGTGACTGTCCATCAGACAAAGTTTATAAACCTTGTGGCCCTGCAGAACAGCCCACTTGTGAAGACAGGTATATTGTCACATAGATTTACATTTGCATTGATTGTGATGTTTGCATGTTTCCAAACACTTCCTAATAGCAAAGGGTAGAATTAAAGTTTGTTTAGCCAGTAAAATAGTAAAATAATATTCTTATCTGAACCTTGCAATTTCCTTTTGCAGTGCCGATGAACCAACAGTAACGTTTGTTACTGAGGGCTGCTTCTGTCCTGATGGAATGAAACTCTTCAACAAAGAGTCAGGAATATGTGTTGAAAAGTGTGGTAAGTAGTAGTTATCTCCCAGATTTCTGCAACTGAATTGAATTTGCTCAGTCAGTCAAACACAAATAAATACTGGATTGCTCTGTATTTGTCAACAGGATGTCTCGATCCTGAAGGCATTCCTCGAGAGGTCAGAGAAAATGACTACTTATGCTTACTGTCTGTAAAATCTTAAACGCTACTGCCTCCTTACCAAGCAATCTTGGTTTACTCTTTCAGTTTAATGAGCAGTTTGAGTACAAATGCCAGGACTGCATTTGTGACGAGCCCACCAAAACTGTGATTTGCAAACCAAAGACTTGCCCAGCACCACCCACTGCTAACTGCACTGATCCAGGGTTTGTTGTTGTGAACCAAACCAATCCTGCGGATCCCTGTTGCTATGCCTACATTTGTCGTAAGACGCCTATCATCAATCCACATTTTTGATTAATTTACTGAACTATTACTTATCACAGAATGCTGTATTTTGTTTTTTTTATCGTTCATAGAATGCAACGTCAACAAATGCCCAGTAAGCAGCATGAACTGTCCAGTTGGATACAAACCAGTCATCAGTGTTCCAGAGGGAAAATGCTGTCCACAACATACATGTGGTGAGTTCAGTTTGAACTTTCACTCAATCAAAGCATTAAAAAAGACAACAAATAGACTACAACAATTTGGGACTAAATTAAACAAAACAAACAGATTCACATCAAATATGGAAAATGTGGAATTTAAGAAAACATAGGTGGGCTATGGATCTGTACAGCTGTCAAGATTTAACATCTTATTGTGATATAAATGAGGAAACAGGGAGTTCAGGTATTATGCCGGTTGACTGTTTGAAGGGTACGATAGAGGAGGTTCAGTTGGAGGAATGGTCCACATTTCTAAAAAAAGTAATCCACAGAAATAAATTTTTTTCCCTGTGGATTCAATTTGTTTTTATTTCTGTTGCAAAATAAAGTTAAACTATGTTGCGTAATGTTGACATTTGATATCATGAATGACATTAAAATTCTTAAGAAAAAATAGAAATTGTACAAAGAAAAGTTGCAAAACGTTTTGTTAAAGTAATATTGAGAACAAGTCAGAAATATTTTAAAACTAAATTGAAAAGCTGAAACTACTGCAGCATTAGGATTTTTGAGTGCTGAGTGTTGACTAAAAGAGTGTGCATCCACACTAATATGCTGAAAGAGATATAATTTATTTCTTAATAAATTCCCACTCTTAGAGTATAAAGTTACTTGCTTATTTACACAAGGACTGATTATTGCAGGTCGGCCCTACAACTGTCACCAGAATTGGTTTACTTTAATAGTTACACTTTAATCTTGACATATCAACTTTATTCTCATAATTTCAACTTCTCATAATATAACTTTATTTTTGCCTATCTCTTTTTAGAGCCTAAGCGAGTTTGTGTCCACAAGGATGTTGAATACCAGGTAAATAAGAAACAGACCCGTCATCTAAATGTCTCATGTAATTCAGCTTTAATAAATTCTCTGATGTGTTAAACCACAATCATTTTCTCGGTCAGCCTGGTTCCTCAGTTCCTGCGAATGCATGCCAGGACTGTACCTGCAGCAATGAGGTCGATCCAAAATCCGGTCTGTTTAAAATAGTGTGTGTGTTTCAACCTTGTAAAGAGACCTGTGAGCCGGTAAGAAAAAAATCAAATAAAATAATTCAGTCTGTGCAAAGCAATGTGTTTACTTCAAGGCTGAGTTTAACTTTCCCTCTGGTTTTAGGGATATGAATATGTGGAAACTAATGATTATGATTGCTGTGGAAAGTGTGTACAGAAACAATGTGTCCTGAATTTAAATGGTACCAAGCATCTCTTGAATGTGAGTTGGATCATCACTTTTGGTTCTTTATTAGCACAAAGCAGCACGTTGTTTTAACGTCTGTGTCTGCTGATCTGCAGGAAGGGCAAACCTGGTCACCGCCTGAAAACATGTGTGAGCACTACACCTGTATGAGGAGTGGGGACACACTGACAGCCCTAAGCTCACACATCATTTGCCCGGTTTTCCAACAGAGTAACTGCCAGCCTGTACGTATTATTACCAACTCTAAAATCTGGAATAAGCGTTTTCACAGCATGTAGAAGCTGAAGTGTTTGTTAATGTACATCTTCCTCCTCAGGACACAATTCAAACAGCTGCAAATGGCTGCTGTAAAATTTGTGAGTATGACATTTTAATTTCAATTGTATAAACACCACAAAATTAAAACCAACTAAGCAGGAGTCTTTTGTGTTTTTTTTTTAAAAAAGGTGTGGAGATAGACAAAGCCTGCAAACTGGTGAGCATGACAACTCATGTTTCGCACCATGGCTGTCGGTCTACAGAACCGGTGGAAATGCCGTACTGTGAAGGGTCTTGCAACACATTCACTAAGTAAGAATGATACAGATTTATTGCTTTTGTTTGCTTAAACAATGTAGAAAGCAGACATAGAGCCTGATTTCTTATCGTCTCCTTTCAGGTACTCTGAAGCGGCAGCTGCTATGGAACATTCTTGCTCCTGCTGTAAGGAAATGCGCTCCAGCAATCGCACCGTTGATTTGCTGTGCTTGAATGGAGACAAGGTCAAACACACCTACTTGTATGTGGAGGAGTGCGGCTGCGGCCAGACCGAGTGCACCACAGCTGCAGGGCTGTCTGCTCGCAGAAAACGAAGATCCACCCTGCTGTGACACAGTCGTCTTTCATAACCTGCTGAATGTTAGAAGTGTTTTGTCTTGTACCACTCTAGCAATATTAGAAAGTAATTTACCACTGAAGTGGAATATTTATCAACTAATCAAATAAAAGTATGCAACTCAGTTCATGTCTTTGTTATCTTTGTAGTCTAAATTCACTTGGCATCAAATAAAATGATGGCAGAAATTACGTGAAGATTTGAAATAAGCACATTGGTGGTATTTATGGTGAAAAATTTAAGACGGGCAAGTTTAATTTAAAAACTGTGGACAGTCAGTGTTGAAGTTTTACATGTATATTAAAATGACCAAAGGATTATTATAGGAACACAATGGATAAAATTGTGGAAAATGATTTTGCTAGAACAGGCTCCAGGTGGAGCTGTCAGTATTTCACAGAGTCAGAGACAGATTATCTTATCAAGTCCAACCTTTATGTCTAAATTTAAAACTATGGCTTGGAAAACATGGTAACTGCTCGAGGCAAAATTTAAATACTCAGTGGAAAGGAAGGCTAGGCAATTTCATCAACACTTTTTGTGCAGCCATTTTAAACATTCCAGCTGCAGGAAAGTTCAGACTTTTTCAAAGACATTTGGAAATGTTTAATTAATTGATGAGAACATTTAGAAATCTGAGTTATTTAAATGTAAAACACTGTTAACTGGGTGGTTTTTGAGTGACTATTAAAACATGATCTGCGTGACCTCTGGATGAGGTCAGTGTTAGGATCTGTGTTTTCTGTGTAGTTTCTGTCTGTCTAGTCCTGTTTTCCCCTGAGTCTGTCTTGATTGATCCCAGCTGTGTGTCGTTCCTGTGATTACCCTCCCAGTGTATTTAGTCCCACCTGTTGTCAGTGTTCTTTGTCGGATCGTCGTCGTGTCTCACGTCTGTGTCTGTTCCTGTGCTGCCAGTTATTTTCTGTTGTTCCTCCCAGTTTATCATTAAATCTTATTTTCATCATGACTTCCTGGGTTCCCCGGCGTCTCTCTCACCGCTCTCCTCAACACACCATGACAGTCAGCAGTTGTCTGACCTAAAGTGATGCCTAACACTGCCACCTAGTGGCGTGTTGTTAGATGAACAACTAACTTTCTTTTCACTTTGTGCAAGATTTTTCCTTCTCATTTGGATTTCACAAATTCTTTATTGGAACTAGTTTCGTATGACAATGAATCATTTTGGAATAAAATACAATTTTTGTCCACTTTTTCATTTTCCATTGTAAAAGACACAGGTCAAAAACAAGTACAGACATATATGGTACAATTAGCAAACTAAAAATGTATTCATGGCAGCTTTTACACTGTCTTACTAAAAACTTTAAGAAAACCTTTGGCATAATTCTCTAAGCTCTGCCAAATGATATAGAATTCCATCTGTCAACACTATTTTACTAAAGAGCTTAACATTTTGAGTTTGTAAAACATAGTTTAGTAATTATTATTAGGGACCATTTCATTTGATCATGCAGAGAAATAGAGATGGCTGCACAGTTGGTAGCACAGTTTGCCTTGCAGCGAGAAGGTCCTTGGTTCAAATCCTTCCCTGGGATTTTTCTGCGTGGCGTTTGCATGTTCTACCTGTACATGTGTGGATTCTCACCAAGTACCCTGGTATCCTCCCATAAGACCTGAAAATATGACAACCCCTGCAAGCAGGTTTAGATAAAAGATGGATGAAGACATAAAAAAACTTTAACCGGGATAGCTAGAAAGTATTTATTGCACTTCACTCAGTTTTAGTAACGTCTACCTGAAAATGTTAAACATTTCAGTTGTTTTAGCTGAAAACAAAATGACTGAATAGTCGACAATAAGTATTTTATGATTGTGACTATTTGTCTCCTGTGAGACACAGCAAAGTCTTAAGACCTGAAAGACAAACATGATCATACAGCGCGTAGCGATATTAAGATGTGGATGGTAAGAAGCTGCATGAGGTGTGGAATAAAGTGTCCCAGGCTCTACAGAAATTAGATTATTTACTAACTTTTCTTTGATATTTGACCCTCAGGATTTTGACTCTGTTAGATATTTGTGAAAATTAAATTAGGGTCAGATGACAGAGCTGATTTGACAAGAATATTAACACTCATAAAAAGCCACCTTAATTTGTATTGTCAAAAATAACACACAAAAAAAAAAGAACAATGCAGACGAAGAGAATCCGCTTGGCCCTTTTCTACTTTCGTTATAGGTAGTTATGTGGTCTCTTTGTATGTTTTTCACTGTGGAGAAAAAGGCAAAACAAAAGCTGTCAAATCATGTCTGCGCTGACAGGATGTCATGGGAGCGTTAGAGCGTTACGTGGCAGGAACAGCATCCTTACTCCTTGTTCACGTACAACATTTCCAGACAATACCAACGTGTGTTTGCCTTTAGATCACGTGGTAGCTGGTAAGGCTGCCGTCTGATACATTAAACTAACACCTGGACAAACACTCGTTTTCCTGTTCAACTTTTCTAAGAGAAATAATAATAAAAAAATTAGCAAAGAATGTCAATAATTCCACAAAATTGTTACTCAAACTTGAAAATACTCCAGCAGATGCACAATTTGCCATATATCATGTTGCAGAAATGTCTTCTTAAATAATACAGCAAATAATATAGTAAACTCATTCCTTTTATGACACAATTTGTATCTGAGCCAGCAGTAAAAGATTATTGTTGTGTTCACAATTAAGCCAGAGTATTTGTCATGTGTGTATCTAAACTCTTTTTAGTCCCGCTGACAAATACCAGGAGATGATTGTTAAGCAATAATCAAAGAGCAGGATTACAAACCGGAACCAACCAGCTCAAGCTTGTACTCAGTCTGGTTTGTTTTTAGATTTAGTGTCAGCTTTCACTTCCTCGCAAGAAGCACAGATTGTGTAACACCAGATCATTATGTGACTCTTAAAGCATTTTTTTCAGTCTTTGAGGTAAATTGGAGTTTAACTAAAGACATTTGGGATCAAATTGGACATTTTTGGAAGTAGCTTGTACTCTTAAAGCTTAAAAAACTACATGGTAAAAAGAGGAACCAGCATATTTTTCTGTCCAAACACAGAAAGTCTGCTTTGGGATCGACTGTGTTCCCAGAAAGAAGGATCAGTTTTACACTTTATATTTATTCTCAAAATGTCTAATGACACCATGTGGGTCAAAAGCAGACCAAGATGTGATAATAATTTTGTCCCTAAACCTGACATAACATCTTGAGTTATAGAGTCAATAAAAATGTGTGTGTGTGTGTGTGTGTGTGTGTGTATATATATATATATATATATATATATAGATAGATAGATAGATATATCTTTTATACATAGCTCTAGAAACATGAAGGTTATTAAAATATAATCAAGTTAAGTTTTTTTTACTACACAATTCAGCAACAAAGGAGTTCAAAGTGATTCACATGATAAAAGCACAACAGTTAAATAATAGCAAAAATAAAAAGAAAGATTACATTACAGTGGCAGATTACGTAATGAAAAGTTGCTATTCAGAAAATAATCTATTTTCCAGTTATTAATTGTAGGCAAAGCTAAAGAAATGCATCTTTAGTTTTGATTTAAAATAATTCATATAAAACTCATATATGATCCATGTATCCAAAAATAAATGGAGTTCGTGGAGATCTAATCCACTGATGGTATTATTCATGGCCTCCTCACTCAGTGCAGGAGTTTTTGTTTACAGTTGCTGTTTGATATCAAAATATAAGGCCTTTTTAAGATGTGCATTAGACAGGGCTAAGCTGAAAAAAACAATTTGTGCAGATGTGAATGTTACTACGTTGAGAGACAAACAGTTTACTGTAAGTTTTACTGAATGTCTATAAAATAATATTCTATACACACACACACACACACACGCACGCACGCATGCGGACACAAAAACACATTGTCACATTATTGCACTGAATCCATTAAAATATTCTGCTGGATCAAAAAGTTTCAATATTCTTGCTGTTTATCACACAAATACCTGTCACAACAAAGTGAAACAAAAATACCTGTAGTGCACAAACTGGATTTGTAAACAGAGCTATTAATTACTGTAAGCAGTCTTGTACGCATTTCATTAGAGGAGTTACCTCATCCCCATAACCTCACATTGTGAAAGCTTGAAATTTTATCTTCTAAGGACTGTTTACCTAATCATTGACATGGGAAGCTTTGGCAGCAAAAGTAAAACTACAAGTTTCTTGCATGTTCCAGAGCACCTCCAAGGGTAAATTTATCTTTGGATCACTCTCAGGTGGATGGCAAAGAAGGACGGTCCTTTTCTCAGTAAGAACACATTCTGTGTTTATTCAGGGAGGACACACGGGTACGTTAAATTAAATTTAAACAGATGAGACTGAAGGCAGCATTGTTTGTGATCTACCTGTGTTGATACAAGCTTTTAACTTCCACCACCTCTGACAAAATAAACTAAGTTGCAGAGGCCGACTTAGCAACAGGAGCTTCACTGAAATGTAAAAAAATAAAAATAAAAACTCTTATTTCTGGTTCATGAGATGACCCGGGTGTCGAAATAGTTGTTTCTATTCAAAATGTCATTTTAACAGGGAGGAGAGAAGTGAGATGATTAGAAATGTTGTCTGTACACAAACATGTAAATATATATCTTTATTTTATTTTTTTAACTTCAAGCCTCTGATTTCCAGTAGAACGGAATAGAATAGAATAATATATATATAAAAAAAACTTATGAGGAAGATATTTATTTTAAGTCACAGTCAAAATGAACACATTCAGGTACACATAGTATTAAAAAAAAAGGGGGGGGACATAATAAAATTGCAAAGAACAATCAAGAATCCTTAATGAAATATTAAAAAATAAAGGAAATATAAAAGAAAGCAAGACAATTAAAAATTGCCTAGAGGTATATACACCTGCTTCCGTACTTTTTACATGTTAAATTTGAACAGATCTATAAGGAAAAAGCAAAAAAAAAAAAAAAAACTAGTTTGAAACAAGGAACAATGTTAAAGTATCAGACATGGAAAAGTATCGCCACTGTCATTGAGCTTTGAACTCAGTTATCGTTTTTATTTCCGTCTTTAATAAGGAAGCACTATTCACTTCTTTACTTCACTGTACTGTTTAAATTTCCACCCTCTTC